GACAGCTCTACTGGTAAAATGGTGTCCTTCAGTGTTTTCTGGAGTTTTCAGGCTGGCTCTGTCGTCCCGGGAAATTTTCCCTTCCAGGAGGTATGGCTGAGAGAGCTTTCCCGGGATGCAGGTGCCTTTCATTCTCCACCGAGAGATATTTTTCTTTTCTGGTAGGAGTTCTGTGCACAAGGTAATACAGTCCCAAGCTGTTACTCTTTTTCCTAGACCATGCCTGTGGGTGTAGAACAATACGTGGTAAAGGTCTTTTTCCCTGGCCTTGAAGGGAGAAGCGGCAGATTGTCTCTGCCACATGCATGCCAGTGTTGTTTTTGAACATTATCCACTGGAAATACTAAAAACAATACCCCCCCTGAAAACAAACTAGTATTATAACCTGATGTTTCTATCACTGAGGGTGATACAGAACATCTGCCAGTGTGCTGGGGCAGGGAACTCTGTAGCTTAATTTGTTTTGATAAATATTACCTCTATTTGGTTTTGTCAGCATTAAGATTAAATTGATTTCCTCTTATATATCATGAGAAAAGATTTCTTACTTCTAATTCTGGAAACAGTCAAGTTAGATCCAATCAGGTCTTTGTGACTTTCATCTTGACATGAAAGAAATGGTCATGTTTTGAACTGAATTCTGAACTTTTGCATTTAGCTGTCCTCAGTGGCTGTGCCAAGGCTCAGAAAAGCCAGACAGATTCTCCCTGTTTCAGAGAAAGACAAATGGAATTATTACTTCCTGACCCAAGCTCAGAACAAGATGGAGAAAGGGCCTTTTTCCAGTATTGGGCATTTTGCTTGAGATTGTTCCATGATGTTTCAACTGGCGTTTGTGAGATTGACAGCACTGATTGTGCCAAAGAACGTAACGTAAAAGAACGTAAGACTGCGTGAGCATTGCCATCTTCTGCCCTGAAAGGGACTGAGGAGTCGTTGCTGACAGAACTGGTGGATAGAATGAAAGAGATTAATTAGGGGCAGGTGAAATTTTAATGTGTTTTTACAAAGGCATGTAGATTTTCCCAGGAGAATTTTAATTCCTGGAAAATCTCTTGAGGATAGTAGGTCTCTGAGGGTTGAAAGGACACATACTGCCCTTTAACCTGTGTGGGAAAAAGGCTACGCTTGGAATTACTGTAGGCTTGCATCGAGTTATCCCATGCTCATATATTAAATAAATCATTTTGGCACACATGTAGCTGAAAAAAAAGTGCTATGGGTGACATTCCTGCTGTTTGGCAGTAAGTAGCAGGGTCAGCACTGCTGGAATTGATGACATTTTCGTTAACGTGTGCCAGCATATGAATTTGTTAATACCAAGATGAGTTAGAAACAAAAATGCAAGGAAAAGAGAACGTACTCAGCAAATCAGCTGAATAATAGTGTAGGGAAGTGCTTCTGCTGTAATCGTTTACAGTGGAAAGTAAATATCTTAGTGGGATTTCATACATTTACCGTCACAGAGAAATGTAAAAAAACCCACCATATATTGTTAGTATCTCTGGAAAATGAACATGTTTTCTAATGAAGTACACAAAAGTCTTTTATAATTTGTATAAACTGTGTTTGTTTATGCATGCAGGCTAACATTATCTTTCGATTTTTGGATGCCTCAAAATCTGATGTCCAGTGCTACCCAGCCTTGGGCCATAGGTACAGATCTATTGAGTATCTTTAATTTGGAAGAACAGATGCTCATTTTGAAGTGGGGCCACTCAAAATCAATGACCACTTCTGAAAATGTTTGATAATAATTTGCATGGTAAAACCTACAAGAGCTTCAGCTGAAGCTTCTTCCAAGAGTTAGAAGGTGCAAGTAGGTTTTTTCTTTGTATCAGTTGGATCAGCACTCGTTTGATAAAATCTGAATCTTACACAAACTCCTTGCAGGTCTAACTGCATAGTTGAGAAACCTGGCTATTGTCTGCTTCCTCCATCTATCTTCAGTTCTTGTGCCAGCCGTTGAAAAGCAGGACAGAGGGAGGCTGCGCGGCTCAGTTAGTAGGTCAGAAATCAGGAATTCTTTTTTCCCTTTAGGTTTGGTGGCTCATTTCCCAACTTTTCTGTGCGTTGTTTTCTCTGTCTAGGTTGTCTTCTGAATGCTGCCCAGTGCTGCCCTTTCCATGCCTGCTCTAGTTTCCACAGGGGCCCTGAATGAATCTGTCTGTGCTTCCTCCTCTTTTTTACTGCTTCACCCACAGTATTTAAAAATAAACAAAACCAAAACAAACACCTGGGTACCACAAGTATGTAAGTCCTAGCAAGCCTTGCACATTTTTTATAAAATACTGTTCCTTGATATTCAAGTGTCCTTGCTTCACAGAATCACAGAATCTCAGTGGTTGGAAGGGACCTCTGAGATCATCGAGTCCAACCACACAGCAAAAAAACCAAACCAAAACAAAAAACCCCAACAACACACAAAACAAAACAAACACCACACCACACCCACCAACCAAGCCCCATACCAACAGCACCACAATACCACTTCGTATGGTATTAAGCAATTATGACTACTCCTGACATTCCCAATATTGAGGAAAAAAATTGTTACCCTATTCATACTGTCTACAGTGAGATGCTGGTATGTAGGGTATACTGGATTCCACTGTGCTGATCTTTCTCTGCCACACTGTCTTATGCTACAGCTTCCCTTTGTCACTTGAAAAATTATTTCTGAAGTAGTCATTTTACAAAGTTTTGCAAAATATCAGAATTACTATTATATCAGAGCCTGTTCTTTTCTAAATTAATAATATAGAATCATTGAAATATTGGCCTAAAAGGGGCTTTAAAAATGATCTTTTTGTCTACTTGCTGTGTGCAACCTTTAGCGAGGGAGAACTATGTGTATTTTTTTCCCATGTTATTAAGAAAATTTTCCCTGTCATCCAACTGAAATAATCTCTGTTGGAAAATCTCTGTTGAAAGTAACTTTATTTATGCTCATCCTCCTCTAGAGGACACGGGAAACAATTATCATCATCCTTTACAATACCAAAGATAAAGACAAAGTCAGTTAAAATTATTCTTGGCGGTCTGTTTTCTGGACTAAACAAATGTAGCTATTTTAACCTTTTCTGATATGCTGTATTTTCTTCCTCATGTAATTTTTACTCCTGTTTTCTGGACTCCTCAGGATGTCATCTGAGATCTTGTTTGTGTTGGATAAAACAGAGTAGAACTGAATGAATACCTCTCAGGATATTGCTATTCCATCTGAAAATGGGATTTCCCTTGCTGGCTGGTATTATACTTCCCAATGTTATTTTATTTTTTTACTACTACTGTAGCCAGTTACCTCCAGCTGTATTTTTATCAAGAAGTGACTTTCTGGTTTTCATACTATGAATTGTCAGTTGCTAATTTATTCAATGTTAGTTGCTGATTAAAGTAGCAATTTTGTTGCCAAGCTATTCAGAGAGGAGGTGACTTGTGGTGGGCCCTGAGAATTAGCGGTGTTGAGTGGATGCATTATAGAACCAATGCAGAAATCTCAGGCAGAGAGGACTTCTGGCAGCAGTTAGCAGCATGGGCACGTCGTTCCCTCCCATCCACTCGCGGACAGTTAACAGCCTCACAGCTTGGATCTTCTGTATATTCAGCTCAGCACAGTGGCTTCTACCTCGCACTGTGACCTCTGTGCGAAGCTCAAGGAGTTGCCCAGATGGGTGATGGGCTGATGCAAGTTGATGGTGGAGGAGGAGAGATGCTGGGGTTGTGCCCTGGAGCTAGAGGTGAGCGCCACCTCCCTTAATCTGATGACATTTACAGTTGCTACTTGCAGCCTTATGTGACCGGAATGTCTTGTCTTGTGTGTTAGGTAAGTTGTAGGCCCACAGCAAGCAGTAGTGAGCTGCTGTCATCTCTCCCCTCTCTTCCCTGGCATGAATGGTTCCTATTAAAAATGTGCAGGCTCTGCAATCAGGTGGGCTACACAGTCAAAATGGAGGGCAGGTGACATCTGGCAACATTTTACACCAAAAAAAAAAGATGGCAATATGCGATGGGCCGTAAATAACAGGAAAGGCAACATTTTAAAGGAAGGCAGGAGATGCAGAGAGCAAAAGAAGATTTAGATTTGAGACTTTGAGAATGAGAAAGAAACAGGAAAGGTTGTGAACAGCTAGTAATAAAGGCTATTGTGACCAGCAGGCAATAATCACTGCTTTGGGTCAATCTTGCTGTGAAGGGTGATCTTGTGACTGGCGAGTGCCTACTGTTGATATGTTATCTCTAAGGTGCAGTCTGTCATGAGGGTGGAACATACAGGCTTTTGTCCTGCCTGTATGCCCTCCAGCCGAGTCTGCCAAAAAAAAATCTGTGAAATAAAAAAAAACCCTGCAAATAGTAGTAATAGTAGTGATACAAATCGTCTGTAGTAGTAATAATTCAAACAATAAGGGTGCAAACCCTCCACGCTGGGTAGCAGTGATACCAGGCGTGATGTTACCTCCTGCCTGGATGGATGTTATTGAAGGGCCTGTACCGTGGCTGCTGTTGTGATGGGAGCGGGAGGTGCAGAACAGGGTGTGTGTCGGTGTAGAGAGAGATGTGTCCATGCCGACCTGTAATCGCCAGCATTCGCAATCCCGTGCGCTCAGCATCTGTTAGCCACGGGAAATAAAATAGCGAATAAAACCAATGACAGTTTAAAACAGGTGAGCCGGGACCGGCTGGTTTTATGCAGGCTGCGGAGGCGGAGGGTCACGGCCGCAGCCAGGCTGATTCCAGAGCCCGCCCTGGGCCGGGTGAGGAGCCCCGCTGTCCCCCTGGGGTGCAGCCCGGCGGGGAGACCTCTGCTTCAGGGGCCTCAAACGCGCCGTGCGAGCCCTCCCCCCGAGGCGGCCGCCTGCCTCGCACCCGGTCCGTGCCGCCCCGAGCGGCGGCAGAAGCCCTGCCGGCAGGGGCCGCCTTCCCGCTCCCGCCAGCCCCGGGAGAGCGGCCGGCGCGCCGCTTGCTCCCGTTTCCATAGCAACGACGTGGGGGGAAGAGGAGGCATGTCGCCAGGGCCTTTGGCGGTGTGCGGTCGCTCGCCTATGACGTCAACTGCTCGGAGCTTATCCGGATGGGCGTTGGTGCCCAAGGCGCCTGCTTGAGGGCGGTGAGGCGGGCGGGGGTGATAGGCAGTGAGTAGGGCAGCTAAGCGGGGGCCTTCCACGGCGCGGTCCTCCCGGGGCGGCGGGTGCGTTTGAACAGGAGCGGGCGGGCCCGGCCCTTCCCGGGGTCCCCTCGCCATGGCCCTGCCCGCCCTCCACAGGTGCCTCCAAGTGAGTGCTGCCCCCGTCCGGGGCGTGCCCCGGCGCTCGGGAGCCCCGCGGAAGGCCCGTGGAAGGCCCGTGCGGCCCGGCCCGCCCCGGTCTGGCCTGGAGAGAGCACCCAGGCGCACTTGGGCGTGGCGGCTCTTGGCTCGGCCGGGTTCCCCTTTACTTTCGGGGGCAAAGCTCACGCTTACAGCGCCTTACGGTTTCTCGTTGCTAGTCTTCTATCTGTAGAACGAGCGTCAATCGGCAGCATCAGCTTTACTTAATACCCTGTAGGTTAGGGCAAAAACTGCAGAGGGACTTTTTACAAGGGTATGTAGGGGTAGGATGAGGGGCAGTAGCTTCAACTGGAAAAGAGTAGATTTGGATTAGGTGTTAGGAAGAAGTTTTTCACTCTGAGGGTGGAACAGGTTGCCCAGAGAAGCTGTGGATGCCCCATCCCTGGAGGTGTTCAAGGCCAGGCTGGATGGGGCTTTGAGCAACCTGCTCTGGTGGGAGGTGTCCCTGCCCATGGCAGGGGGGTTGGAACTAGACGACCTTTGAGGTCCCTTCCAATTCGAACCATTCAGTGCTTCGAATGTAGTTAGTTGTGTTTGGGTGGTAGATGAAGTGATAGGCATGATTGCATACTGCTGGATGAGGTTCAGCAAATGCGCGTGCAAGAAATTCTGCTAGTGTGGCTGTAGTTTAGCCTTTCAGCTTCAGTGAGATTGAAACAGAAACAAATAGGAGTTTAGTTGCAGGGCTTATGTGTAGAAGCATAACTGAAAGTTTGTATATTTTATTCATTTGTGCTTTATTTTTTTAAAATACAAAACTAGTTTGCCTTATCCTTCACTAATTAATTATGAAGTTACACTGGAAGCTTTAAATATATATGTTAAAGAAGCTGTCTTTTATTCAATTCTTCCTAAAGTTTAAAGCCAATTATTTTTCCTGCCACTTTCCTTTATATAGTGAAATAGTTCAAGATAAACATAGTGGGAGAACATGGGAGAGAATTTTAATCTGAAATGTTATCAGCTCAATTAATACTTATTTTTTAATTGTCTTCCTTTTCAGCTCAGTGATGAAAACGAACAGTTAGTCAAGAAGCTGAAAAAACTACATATTAAAAATAAGGAACTAGAAAAGAATCTGAGTCAGATCCAAGAAAAACTACATCTGCAGCAGTTAATGCATGACTATGTCACATATAGAGAGTAAGAATTGTCAAACATTACTTTTTGTGTCAAAAGAAGTTCAGTATTTCCAGACTTGTACCTTCAGAGGAACTAGGCTTTATGCATTCTGTGTATTTTGGGCGACTGTCTGTGAACAGGATGGTGGGGATGGAGAATGCTGAAGGTGTGTAAAGGAAGGAAGGGTGGCTGGACACCTTGGACAAAATTCATCATTGTAGTAACTCAAACAATTTGAATATCAATAAGTAATACCCCCTGCTTAGCCAGCATGTCATCTCTGTCTAATTGCAGAGACTATTTTCCCCACAAAAAGTAGTAAGATGGTTAAATTGTATCAATACTGTTTAAAAAATTCGGAAACTAGGACCTTAGGACCTGAAAAAATACAGCACTAGTGTTTTAAAGTGTGTCCTGCCAGGATTTAAATATCTTTGCAAAAAATTTCAAGTTTAAATCTGGTACATTTATGAACCTGCATGGAAACCTCTATAATCAATCAAACTGAAAAATAATTTAGCCTTTTTCAGTTGCTTTGTTTGATCCAATTAAAATTGTAACATCTAATTTTATTAAGCCGTTGTGTTTGTTTCCATTAAGTGTTCAAGTTCAAACAGAAACCCATTTGTTGCGTAAGGGTGGATACAGCAAGGATCTTAATCTAGAGGGTGACAGTGTCAGGTGAGTTCTTGGAAATCGGTTCTTCACAGAATTAAACATTCTTCTCTGTGGGGTAGAATATGTTGTTCATGGTTAAGTCAGTGGAATTTTGTTAACTGTTATGGAAGCTGCTTTCAGCCTTTGAAACAATGGAAAATAATTTTATTTACATTTTAAAAGAAAATACTAAATATTAATCTTGAAAATATCACTAAACAAATAACAAAATAGATTTCTTAAATTTTTCACTAAGAAAAATTGAATGAGCTAAGGCAGCTCCATGATGTGTGTGATATTTTTCGTAGAATTTTAACCTAGAATTATGTGATTTCATTTCTATTTTGTAGGAGCTTTCTTAGCTAATTTTCATAGGTCAATTTTATATATATATGTAAAAAATTTGTAGGTGAGTACTGTTGTCAAAATAAGCCACACAAGTGATTCTACTTTTCTGTCTAATTGATTTTAGAAGTGAGCCACTACTTAGTCTAGTTTGCCCTTTAATGCTAGATATAAATTCTTGTAGTTGCATTTTTGATACAAAAGACACTTTTCTTTTAAGAAAATTTATATTGAAACATTTCAACTACTAGACATGCTACATGATACGTTGGTCTATGACTTCATTTTAAAATAAATAGGCTGCTCCATTCTTCCAAAGGCTCCTTTTTGTCCACTGACAGAAATGGGCTGCAAATCTTACAAAGATAGAGGTGGTCCCTACTGCTCTTGATCCAAGCACCCTGTTTTTAGGGTTTCCTTTAGGTGGCTGTAGAAGGCTTGGTGTTTTTTCTATTTTTCTTTTTTTAAATACTACTTCAGTCAACCAGGTTTTCTCTGCCAACTACATATGAAGGCTGGGTGTCTAGCTCCAGGCTTGAGTTGAGTACTGAATTAAATGTTTATGTCAAAGAAGTCTGGCTTATTCTTTGAATCTAGTGCTGGACCTGTATTGTATTAGGTTGCTTGTAGATACCCTGGCTTAGCTTTTTTCTCTAGCATCTTTTTTTTTTTTTTTTTTTTTTCACAAAGCTGTTCTATATTAGTATCCCTCATCCTGCTTGTGGTGCGCAGTCATGACTTGGTATGAGGGCTGGCTTTTATTCGAATTCCTAACAAATAAGAAAAATGTCTGTTCATGTTCATCAGTTACATTACGGGCCTGATATATGTAGCCTGAATGCTATGAAATACTGTAGGAAGTTAGGGTAGCAGAACTTGGTGCAAGATAATGTCAAAGGGAATGATAATATCCCAAATCTGGTTTTTTTACCTTGATTTTACCCACTCACACTCATTTTCTTATAGATTTCGTTCACTTATATCCTCATACCCACGTGCTCACAAGCAATGATGTGTGTGTCCAAGTGATCTGGCCAAGGGTTGCTTGGGCGCGACATTGAGCGCTGAGGATGCTGCTTCATGTGTCCTTATTGTGGGTTCTTGATCGGTGGCACAAAACTAATTTATGGACAAACTATTTAATAGACTTTAGAAGAGGTCTTTTGCCATTCCTGTTGTGCTAGTGGGGAGAGGAATGCTATGTGACACGCTGCACGCTTGTTGCCACTCTCCAAGTGTTAGTGTAAAGGTCTTCCATCAACAAGTCATTTGTACTGAGGTTTAGTCAGAATGTGGCCATGTAGGCTGAGGGTCCTCAGTCTGGCTGAGTGAAAGGGATTCTTTGCTATCAATACAGTCTATTATTTTAACTCTTGCTTTGCTGTTTTTTTTCTGGTGCTTTCTCTTTGTTGCTGGTCACACTTAATCAACATTTCTATGACAAGTCCCTGCAGTCCAAGTGGTCTTTATAGGGCATCTGTAGTACTTTTATCATGAAGTATGCACATCTTGCTGGCTTTCATTTTTTATTGCAATTTATACATTTCCTTTGTTTTAGACTACTTCAGATGTATAATGAGCTACAGAAACGTTACGTTAAAGAAATCAAAACAAACCAGGAGCAAAGTGAAGAAATTAAAAATCTTACTGTAAGTAGAAGTTGTAGGAGATGGTATCAAATAGACAAACATAAGCTAACATAAGGGAGACTGAAAAGTAATTCTGACATTTGTAAAATGAGACTATGTTTTTCTTTCTATACTCATTTTTGCTTCCTATGCCATTGAGATAATGACAAGTAGTCTGGAGTTCCCTTTGAAGGTGAACTCAGTCATTGGTATGTCTGTAACTGAAATCTGTCTCCCCTTGCCTTGCTCTTTTCTTTACTCACGTACCTACCCCTCCTTCCAGCCTCTCTTGCACCAGCCCTGGTATTTTTCTGTATGTGTCATGAGCTGATTTATTTCAGAAATGCATCAGTAAGCAAACCAAACGAAGGCCAATAGTCTTCTGTCAGGCAGCAAGAGCAGTTGGCTTGCTGTGCGTTGTAACTGGAGCGCAGGTAGGGTGGTGTGGCCAGGACTGGTTCAAGAAGCTACAACTGGGTATGGTCTCTTTATGTATTGATCAAGCATTACAGCTTACCAGTCTAACTAGCTTTCTCCTAGGGGTCTGGAATATGTGCTTCATTTGCTTGTAAATTACTGTTCATTATGATTTGGATTGTATCTACTTTTTCTTAGAAGTTGGCAATTGCTGCCATAAAAGTACGATTTATTGTGCAGAAAGCTTTAGTGTCTTTGTGCATGTACATTTACACTGCCTTGCGAGCATGTGCTCAGTAACAAACACATTTAATGTATGCAAAACTTCACTTGCTGTATTTTTTTTCTCCTTTCAGACACTTTGGATGAGTGTAGTTTCAAGTCACCAGTTGAAAGCTTTAGGTTTGCATGCAGGATGTGTTTCCAGCTGTATTCAGTTGAACTGTGTTTGTTCTATGCATTTTTAAAAAAATCAGTTTTTTGACAGATTAAAATTCATGAGCTAGAGCATAATCTTCGAGAACAGAGGCAGAGAATTGAGCAATTGGAATCTAAAAAGGTTTCCTGGAAAACTGGTGCTGCTTCTGGAAAAAGAAGTCGAGCCCCAGAGGGAGAAGTAACATCTTGCAGGAACGTGTCTAAAAAGAAGGAATCCTGTTGCAGTGAATATTTAGGTAATGGCATGGTTGAGCCTGATGATGTTCCTTCCAGTATGCCCATCACCAAGGATGCATTTAATTTCTGATTCAAAGGCACACTCCATGTTATTTCTTCTACTTCAACCAGCGGTGTCTAAAGTGTTTTTCATTTTTGAAAGCCTGTTATGTAAAAATGGCATCTCATAATCAATGTCCGGTCTGTGGATCCAGCCCTGCATTTGTTTGCTGTTAAAAATAAGTGTTTGCTGCTTTCCTCTTTTTCCAAAATTGGTCTGTTGGTGTAATCATGGGTGGGAGTGCATGGCTGTATTTAGTACTCTTTATTATTTATTCCAGTAAGCTGTATCTATGCAGATCTCTTAGTGATAACATTTGCTGCTTCATTCTTTGCTTTTCAGACATCAATGCACAAAAGAACCTGGTTTTAGCCTTAAAATATGGGAGAAATCCAGACAATACTGTTTTGAGCACGTTCTTCCTTATAAGTAAATCCACAAGTTAAGGTGCAATCCTGTTTCACTTCAAAGCATAAAAGAAGAGATTGCAGAGGTCATATGATGTAGGCATAATTTTCAGGAAGTGTGTTGGCAGCAAGGGCTAACATGAACCTCTTGCAAATCATAAAAAGGCAATCAAGGCATGTGATGCAGGTTTTGTGGATTTTAAGGTAAAATAATTCCACATCCTAAGAACATGGCAGATCCTGTTACCTTGCATAGTACCTGGGAGTGTGCTGGGCCCATTCTTAAGAATAAATCACTTTATGAAAAAGGTACTTTAAAAAGCTGAACCATAATTTTCTAATATCACAAAACGTGGGCAGCTCTTTAGCTGTAATATGATTCATGTGAGGGGGAGGTTGACTGTAATGGTTGATGTCTATATTTTTTATTTGAATATAGAGCTATTGTTGAAGGAGATTAAAAAGCTGAAGAAAGAAAATGAAAAGTTGTCTACAGAAAAGAAAGCACTAAAAAATGAATTATCCGGATTAGATAAGGTAATTTATTTTAGGGCAAGTTTAAGAATAGGTGATTTTTTGAAAAACTAACTTTTCTGCCTGAACTGAAACTTATTTTTAGGCTGTACATATGTTTTCAAGCAAAATACATTTAAAAAAAAATCAATTTACAGCATTCTGAGGAAGAAGTAGAAATGAATGACTCTTTGAAACATTAATGTTGCTTGGGTAAGGAAGAATAATGATGCAATTTTATTTATTTTTTTTAAACAGCTATGGATTTTCTTCTGGATTTTTTTTTGTTTAGGCAATTTAGATTCCTTCATGAGAGATTGTTTACCTCAGTTACGACATTAAAATTACTCCTGGTAACAATCTTAATTCCTTCCAACAGACATTTGCAGGGATAATAAAAATATTTTTTATTTGATGATCACTTCTATTGCTTTGTGATATCAATGAGAGGAAAGCTGGTTTCTCTTGAATTTAAATGTATCAAAACTATGCCTCTGAAAGAGCTCTAAGCTTAGGGAGGGCAGAGGGGAGGGCTTTGAAGCTTTTATGATAGATTGATAGGTGTAAAAAGTGAAAGTGTGAAAACTTGGAAATTCTTGAAATTGTGAGGAGATGAGTTCTTATCTAGCCATAAAAGACAGTTTATTATACTGGTTTAAGATTTTATTTTCAGCAAACAGCTTGCTTAAATTGTTTTTTTTGCTCGTTCTTCATGTTTTGTGTTAGATTTTTGTTTTGAGAATCTGTTTTCTTATCTTGCAATCCTTTCTCCCAAGGTAAATAATATTATGCCAGCTTCCATTACAGGGGTAACAGTAAGGCATGGTGATAGATCATTAGATGTGAAACTTGTAGAACATTGAGCCAGGGTGAGTTCTCGATCCCCACATTTGGGAGTTAGGGGCAATTTGTGGCTGAAAGTTTCTCTTTCAGAAGAGAAATATGTAAATCTGAGGTTTTGTTTTTTTATCAGTGACCCTTTTTAAGGTAAAGTCACTGTACATTGAGTTGTATGTAGCTATTAATTCTAAAAAGTGAGAATAGGCAGAATAATATGTCAAATATAGCTGGATATAAGTAGATACAGTGTTACTCTAGTAGACAGGACTTTCCAAGGATGGTGAAATTCAGTCTTGGGTGATTGCACTCTGCTTGCTGTCCTTGCATTTCCCAACAGCTTCCGACTTCACTTACAAAGGATCAGGATTGCTCAATAGCAATTGAGTTGCAGGATCTGAATAAAACATAGTTCCATTTAAGCTATGGGCCATTGATATTTTTAATAAATTAAGTTTGTTTCTATGAAGCTGAATTTATCTCCTAGTTGAATTAGGGATAGCTAGAACTACTTGCTAAGTTATACATTCTGGGATAGCATAAATACGAAAGGATCAATATGAAAAAGTGAAACCACGCAAGCTGACATTAAATAAATTTTACAGGACTTGCTTTTTATGGCTTTCTTATTGGACTGTCTCTTTTTCTTCTGTGTAGCCTTACATATTGCTTTTTTTCATTCCCAGTTGAACCTGCTGGCTAATTAGGCTCTGTCACATTTAATGCATCATAAATCTTGCCCTTTGGAATATGAAAATCAAACTTTATACCATAGTGCTGTCATAAATAATAGTTCTTATTCTGAAATAGGACATTCATTAAAAAAAGTAGTTGTACTCAAAGTTCTAAATGGCTACTAGCAACTTACAAAGCAGTTAAACTTAAAAATATTTTATATCTTTCTGTGTCCATTTCTATATCCATTTTTCCCTCTTAAACTCTTTGGTATTGTCTTCTTCAAATACTAACATCCTCCTCCTTAGTTTACTCTCCTCATCTCTCTCCTTGCTTGTTGTCCCTTTTTTGTAATCTTGAAACTTCCAGATCTTCAAAGTTACTGGTGTGTTACCTGCTGCTGGCTGATTTCAGCACCTACAGCTGTGTTGTTGCACAGATGAGTTTGGCATTATTCCCTTGTTGTTTTGGACTGTCATTTTGTAGCTTTCTGGTAAACCAACATTTATTTCTTCACTTATTAAACTTTCCTGTTATTAGTCTGTATTTCAGGCTCAAACGTACCTTGAATTCTGTTTGCATTGTGTGTTCAGGGCAAAGTTTTAAATCATTACTGAAGGTTATAGTTGATTGCTGTATCTTGATAGCTGTGTTTGCATAACTCAACCATACATTAATAAAAATAAAGTGTCTTTGAACTTGGGAACGACTGAAATGCTGACTAGCTCTTACTGCAAATGTCTTTGAAAGAGACTCAAAGGTGAATATTTTTGGGTTTTCCTAGGAGTTTTTTGAAGAGGTAGAAGATCTAAAGCGTGCTGTACAGGAATCCGTGAAACTGAATAATCAGTATGAAAAATGCTTGAAACAAATAAGTATAATGTATGGACTTCCTTTTACATCACATTTGTAACTACTGATTAATTTAAAGGCAAGTAGATTTTCTACATAACTTTTTTTGGTACTTACTACAACATTTAAACCTCCCATGACTCTGTAGTACCACATTTTGATAATATTATGGATCTCAATATGACAAGCTGCTCTGAAATGCTTTTGTATTTTGTGCCTTTGTTTTTATTTTTTTTTTTAAATAAACAGTGGTCTGTATAACTTCAACTAAGTTCCGAAACCTCTCTTTCACACTTGTGAAACTCCCTTCATTGCAGGAGTAGTTGTGGGTGTTTACGGGAATATGATAAAATCTTTATATTTCATTTGAAGAATTTCCCAATTAATCCTTTTCTGTAAAGTATATAAAATCAAAGTAGATGTGTAGATTTGGCAGTCTTTATGGATTTCAGCCCTAAGGATGGGCCAATGCAGACAGAAATGAATTCTATCATTAAATTATTACAAAGGGATTCCTTACAAAGAAAAATGCTAAATCCCTGCTTGGAGAGTTGTTCTTTAATCTCAATAACAGGTTAAAATTTGTGGACGAAGGAAGGGTTTGGGGTTTAGAATGGGAAAGACTGTATTCAGAAGGATGAGTCAGAGAGTTGTCTTATAGAATCAAAACCAGAATTTGTCAGAAGCTCATATTTGACTGAAGAGCAAGATATTTGAAGAGCTCTGGTATTGGAAGTGCTGAAAGAAAACTGGAGTTCAGAGTCACATTTCACAAGGTGGAAATGTCACATTGCTTCGTAGAGAGAGAGCTTGGACTGATAAGAGGCAACTCCCAGTTGTAAGTGTACCTTGCAGAAGGGAGCCCCTGTGAGATTTGAACTTGGCTTATTTGTAACTACATTTCACAAAAGTTTAACATAGTTGTTAAACTGTTACAACTAGATCTGAAAACTGTAGGTACCTTTGTGATATTACAAGGGTAGAATCGAGTTTATCATGAGATTAGAAATGCTAAGCTTATTTATAACCTTAACAAAAACACTTGCACACTCGTTAGGACTAGGATTAGGACTCTTGTCCTAATTTTTTTTTTGGTTTTGTTAGGACAGTTGTATGTAGTTGTAAATTAATAAATAAATTGGCCTCAAAGCATATGGGGTGTTCAGAGTTCCATGTTCCCTAAGTAAGAGAGAGGGTAAAGCTCCAGAAGTACTTGCTCTCTGGTCTGGCTGGAGACCATGGCATCAGGTTTCCCTTGTTCCATTCTTGGCTCACTTGTAAATTAAAGCTGGATAATGTTTTGAACAGAGATGGAAAGAGGAGTGATGCAAATTTGTGTTGCCAGCAAACTTGATGGATGAAAACAGGAAGAATAACATGCATGATGGAAATATTTGTGCAAAAATGTATCTAGTATTTGTTACTAAGCAAAACAAACATCAGTGCTGGAGAAGGAAGGCATCAAACTTTTTTTTTGAGTGCTAGTCACTTAAGCATTTCTTTTTCCACAGTTTGATGGTATAAAGTTACACTTCTTGCATGCTTAAACTTTGGTGACATTATTAAATGAATTGGTAATTGTCCTTGTCCATGGGCTGATTTTTTTAAGTGTTGTGTGGAATGGTTCTTAAAACATGAAGGTGAGGAAAAGTTCAAGGTTATTTCTTCTCTTCATAAAGAATGTACAAGTTGACTGAATACAAAATTGTCACGACTGGCAGAATTTTGCTGTTTGCCAGCTACTGAAGATCAGAGTTTTCCATGATAGAGTGTGTTCTCTCCCCAAACAATTGAAAATAATTGATATAGTGAAAATATTGATCTGACCTTTATGATGAGCTTTTAAAAATCAGTTTTGCGTCAGGCCAATCCCATCTGTTTTGAGTGAGAAACAGTGAGAAATCTTCCAGTCGTTTCTCGTAACTGAAATCCCCAAGCTGTAGTAAGAAATCAGGTTCTAGTCTCATCTGAATGAGCCTCGCGGGGAGGAGCGTTGTGCAGCGCGTTGTACAGCGACGTGTTGAACCACAGCTCCATCTTGCAGCGCCCGTGCAGCCTGGCAGCATTGTGTTTGACCGTGGCATCACACGTGAGAGGATGGCTGGCTTCTGCCTGGGTCCCCAGCCCTTGGGTACCCGTATGTGAGGCTCGGATGATGACTGTGTGTGCCCTGGTTCCGGACACACTGCTTTGACTGGGGTGTGCGGAGACGTGCAGCCACAGTGCTGAGCAGCCAGGGGCTGGCAGGTGGCAGAGGGAGGTAGGCAGGGATTTCTGGCAGCCAATAGCAGGAGTTGTCCTTCAGCTCATTCTGCATCACTCACTTTCTGTCATTTCTGGGTTTTTTTTTTTTTTTTTCCTCTTTTAAAGCTGGAAACATGGTGCAGATGGGAGACCTCTGGCATCTTTCACATCTGTGGCACAACTCCCAAAATAGTAACAGCCAGCAGCAGAAACACTGGGACACAAGATCTGTGCAGAAATGACTGGCTTTTTTTTTTTTTTTTTTTTTTTGCATTTGATGGGATTATTTCACTTCTGAAGATCTGATTTTTCTATTTTTTTTTAGTTTTTTTCGTTCCCCTGATCTGTAACACCGACTCTTTTGCTGCAGCTCTGTAGCTGTTTGGACAGCTTCCGAAGAAACTTGATGTGTGAAAAATAATGTAATGAAAAGCTTCCAGAGAATGCATAGATATTGATAGCAAAATGACAGGTTTTATTTGTTTTAAGCTTTGTGTAGGTTGTGAGCAAGAAGAGTTGTAAGGTTATTTGGGTTTATATTATTTTTTGACGTGCCTAATGCAAGTTAAACAACTTACTGGCATTTTCTGTTCAAATCGATACTATTTTTGTTGGAAGAGGAGACTATCTAGGACTACCAAGTCTGCTTGCAGATTCTGGGGTAGGTGCAGTTTGTGCAGGACAAGGCCGTATGAATTTGTGTGCTTACACTTCAGGATTTACCTGTCTTTTGTCCTTGTTGCTGTGTCTGTTGGAGAGACATTTCTGCTTTAATCTTGCCTTGTTGTGAGATGTACAGACAAGATCCTGTTGATTTTTATTGATAGTTACGGTGCAGATGAGATTAATATTAAACAAATTAATCAGCCTTTATGTGTAGTTCTTCTTTCTTGTGAAATTGTGACATCTGGCCAGTGGCTTTCTCCTCTGCTAAACTAAGTTTAGATACAACTGAATTGCTTGCAATTAAGTATTAGTCATGACAGCATTAAATAATGCATATTAGAAATGTTACATGATGCAAACTAATCGTTCTTTGTCTTGACTGACTGTTTTGTAGTGGTGAAAAGGGAAGCTTGTGCTCGAAAATAAGTGGCTTAATAACCACTCTTATTATCAAGTAGAGATTTTGATTGGAAAAATAAGATAGTAATCACATGTCAATTATTGATTTCCATGAGACATCAATCAAATGGGCTAGGGCATAGGGCAGTGAAGCAATTTAAGTTCTCTGTTTTGAATGTAACTGAGACCAAGATTTTAGGAAAGATCCACTAATTTTGTGTGGTTCTGGAGTTTAATCCTAATATGCCTAATATTTAGGGTCTAACTATACAAAAGTACTAGTATTCACAGTTCTAATTGGATTTAGTCAGTGCACGTGACCAGTGGCTGCTAATCACTGTCTGAATACCATGTTCTCTAATTGCTAACATCCTGGATCTTAGTTCTGTGTTAGAATATTGCTATTGTAGGAAGCAAAATTGCCATCCCGTTCCTGGGCAGGGGCAAGGCTTTTCTTTGTGGATTTCTTCAGAAGTTTGTTGGTGAGTGTATGAAGTAACATCTTTATAACTCTCCTGGAGTCCCTTTTACTGTGACTGTGCTACACTGTTTACCTTTAGGAAGTGGGTCTTTTCAGATGTGCGTTGCTCTTCAGTGACGTTGGGTGTGGAACCTGAGTGATTTTACTTGAAAGTTAGGCTGGTATCTCTGCCCTTTCAACTGGGAAACTTGTTTCTTGTGGGCACTTACACTGGAAAAGTGCCAAGGACAGTAGAAGTAACAGAGCTGTGAAAGTGCGGGTATTTCCTCTTTACACCAGGAACAATGAATTTCTGTTAAATGCCTGTAAACAAGTGAAACAATCAATGAGCCCTGTTACAATTGTGGCTTATCAGATCGAAGGCATTTGTTTTGGATTAGCCTTTAAAATGGCATAAAATGAAATTGTTGTTTCAAAAGGGGTAAGTTCCCTGTTTTGGTTACAAACTGTGCAAGGTGGAAGAAATCAGTAAATAGAGTGAGCTTACCGGCTTGGGCTCATTTCCCCATGTTTCTCTTCAGCTGTAGCAGTTTCTCTTTCTGAGGCTTAAGATGTTACTTGGTTTCCCCTTCTGAGACATGAAGCAGCATTGGCCTCCTAGTCATGTATCTATGCCTGTGTTCCTGGAAAGCTCTGGTAGACTTGTTTTAGGATAGCAAAATGGTTTTGGTTTTTGGAGGTTATTACCACCTTTAATATGGCTCATTGTAATTACAGTGATTTGGTGTTTCCAAACCTTTCAGAAGGTTTTTCAGAGTGACGAGACGCTAGCACTGTAGGCCTTACATGGTAGCTTTTCACAGGGAACACTCGTTTAATGGATATTTTATTTTGTGTTTTCTCCACAGGGATTTTGCACTGGTATGAAGCCCAATGTGGTCCTTTGATTAGCCCCTGCTGCTTTCACCTACGAGAGGAGAACTGAGCCATTGGGAAGGAGTCTGACGCTGGTACTGCAATGTGGAGCTCGAGCTCAGCCACTGTGAAGAGCCTTCCTTTGAAGAAGAGGCTCTGTTTCCTGCTGAAACTCATTTGCTTTGTCATCTCAGTGTTAATATTTTGTGAATTTTTAATTTATTATGTGGTAATTTTTCAATGTCAATGGCCAGAAGTGAAAGGTGGAGCTCACACAGGTAAAAAGGCTTCAACTTCAGTCCTGAAGGCCATGATTTTAGCTGATACTCACCTGCTTGGTGAAATCAAAGGACATTGGCTGGACAAGCTAAGAAGGTAATAATTTATTTGAATAATCTCTATCCTGTTTTTAAAGTTTTTAGCAGTAGGTAATGGGATGGATGTTTAAAATCAACATTGTAATACTTGTAAGAAGCGTGCGTGCTGCCTCCGACTTGCCTGTCTGGCTCTGCCCTGGGTAGTAAACCAGTGGTGAAAGGTTAACCAGTGGGACTTAGTGAGGCAGTGCAGTCTTGAATGCTCAGTTAATATGTGAGTGCAGATGCCTGAGCATTTTAGATGGATTAGATAGTCTTTTCCAGTGTGTAACTGTTTTCCAGGATGCCTTAAAAATGAGCCAGTTAACTTGGATGTCCCACTAGTTAATACCTTTCATTGCAGAGGTAAGGAAGCCAATAGAATTTGTCTCTCTAGTAGGAGAACCAGTGGCAAGATCACATTTAAAACCAAAGATAATCCAGTCCTGTGGCTACTGCACAAAGCCACGTTGTTTCTGCTAGTCCAAAAGAAAAGCAGAATGCTGAAAGAAAGTACATTTTAGACTTTTGGTGAAGAAACAATAGCATAGTAAAACATGCAATAATTCACTGTTCTAATTAATCACCTTTTAATGGAATTGTAATGAATGAAAATAAACAAATTCATTGCTTCTTGCATGAGTTGGTCATGATTGTGTTGTGGTGGAATTACCCACCAGGTAAGATGCACCTACTGTACTTACATCTGATTTCTGAGTATTTAATTTGAATTCCATAGTAACGCTTTCAGTGTGTTGGAGTCATCTTCCTGTTCCTGCCAGGCTGTGTTTGTGTATTTGGAGCTGAGGATCCAGAATTGAGGCAGCAATGACTGGATATATGTTTTCCTTTCAGGGAATGGCAAATGGAGAGATCTTTCCAAACTGCCTTATGGTTACTGCAGCCAGATATTGTTTTTATTCTGGGAGATGTCTTTGATGAAGGAAAATGGAGCTTACCTCAGGTATGACATCAGCAGCTCTCTTATTTCAAAAAAATGAGGAGTTCTTGAAGGAAATGGATGGCAGAAGAAAGCAGACTCGGTACGCAAGGCTTTGTTTTACATTACTACTGGTAGAAGTTTCTAGTGGTTTAGATATGAGTTGAAGTGGTGTGATTCTCCTTCATTTTTGGTAGTATCTTTGCACTTTTGACCCCTCTTACAAGATTTATAAAAGGTAAACATTTAATTGAGCGTGTGCTGCTGTATTATATACTAGTGGTCCCCTTTGATAATGCAGAACAGCATTAATTTCTCCATTTGTTTTTTCACACAGGCTTGGGAGGATGATGTCAGGAGATTTCGGAAAATGTTTAAGTGCCCAGTTTCTACTGAGCTGGTGGTTATCGTTGGGAATCACGACATTGGGTTTCATTACGAGTAAGTTTGTCAGTGGAAGGAGTACGCCAGGGCCGAGAGTGACACGTCAGCATGCACACAGTCACTGCTTTGGGGTCTGAGTGACCCCTTGGGCGTTTATGCAGAAAATATTTGATCATAACCAAATTAGGAGGGATGGTGATGTAGAGCGAGATCTTACAAGGTATCCATCTGTGCACAATGCACCCTAAGAATACATTTTTAGAATAGTGTTCAGGCTATTTTTGCGCTGCTCTCAGCGTATGTGAAGTTGTTCAGAGCTGGTCTTTCTGCGTTGGCGGAGAAGTCTTGAAGCTGCTTTTCCTTGTCTTGGGCCTCTTTTCCCTTTCCCATTATCTCAGCATAGAAGAAAGTGTCCCCGCTCTGCTGGACTTGTACAGGGTGGCTGTGCTTACACTGGTGTGACTGGGACAGTGTATGCTGAGTGCCAGAGCATCCCTGTGAGTTTGCTGAATGTGTATGGGATGTAGATAACGGGCCAGCGAGCTGCCTCAGTGGGCTACAAACTGTAAAGCTGTGTTAGATGATTTACAGCCAATTTCTTACCTCCCTTGTATTTTTGCTCTGTGACACAGAATGACTACTTACAAGGTAAATCGATTTGAAAAGGTTTTCAACTTTACTTCAGGAAAGCTAATAACCCGAAAAGGAATAAAGTGAGTATATTTAATTTTTTGTTTTTTCAATGTTTAGAGTAGTGATTACTGAGCTAGCAGACCTGAGATTGGAAGTGGAATTTCTAATGAAATAGTGTGGGACTTAGTAACTTAGGGCCTTTAAAAAAAACAAACCCACAACTTTGTATATAGCTTGTGATATGTTAAACATCAAACACTTTGTACAAACCTGTAGTTTGATACGGAGCGGAAGCTGTACTTTGAGCTGGGTGAATTGCAGCTATTTCCGTTTAAATGGAAAAATACTGTGGAGTCAGAATCAAATATTCCTGTTTGCCTTTTCACTTCCTTGCTGCTGGCAATGGCCCATGGCCGTAAACATAACGGAAGAATAGGATTCTGTAAAGAAACACAGTCAACCTCCCTGCGTGCTTACAAGTTAAGAGTTTCATTAATTTTAATAACTTTGTTAGTCTGCAGAACTTAACTCTTGTTTGAGGAATTTGGGGACAGGGCAGTTGCTTGTCTGCTGCTTTTCCACAGGGTGGGGTAATAAGGCACAAGCCGGTGTTGGCTTAGAGCAGCCCCCGTCACGGGGGGGCTTGTTCTCAGAGCTGAGTGTCCGTGGCTGCAGTTGGCTGCCCTGGGCCCTTTGGTTACTTCTAGATACCACGCAGGACCTAGATGACCCAGTGGGGTGGTGGAAAGGCATTTGAAGGGAAGACCCACTGCCACTCTGCATTTGGCACGGGTGCCCTCAGGTTATAATCACTCCTGCAAATGTCAAATTCAAAACCTACAGGTTTACGCTGGGTCCCTTAATTAAGCAAAATATTCATGACAGGTCTAGAAATGGTGTGTCTTTTCTACGAAGATCTATCATCTTTATCAATGCTCAGTAAATGCTATTGCTTATCGCACAGGTCCTACTGAAATGTATTTCAGCTGTTTTAAAAAATAGTTATTAGGGAATATCTCCATGTCCCCTTTGATAAGGCAGCACAGGAGAACCCTTGCGTGCCCTTGCAGATTGTGTGTCTAGTATCGTACTCATTGAGTGGAATAAGCTGCATTATTAATGAAATGTTCCCAGAGAAACTATTTTATAGCAAATCTATGGTAGAAAAGCAGATTAGTTTGATAAAAGAATTAAATTTTTTTTTGGTTTTGACCAGTACCTCTTAAGTTGGAGGCATTTGGCTTGTTTATGTCTGTAAAACATACTGAATTGAGCTGGGACTTTATCTCCAGTCCTGAATGAGTGACTGAACAGGTATGAATCTTGTGGCAGAAGTTCAAAGTTGATTTGAAATCTACAGGGAAATCTTTTTCTATTACAAACAAAATACAGTTTTCTGTGTGAGAGACCTCAGAGCATGAAACTAAGTTTCTTGAGGGCAGCCGGAAAAATGCAGTGCTGGTTTGCTTTTCAGTTGTTCTGAAGAAATCAAACGTCTAAAACGATGTCTCTGAGGTTTGAGATGTGTGAGGAGAGAAGCAAGTTCTTTCCCTCAGAATTCAGATTAGTGGGTTTCTAGCATTAAGCGCATTCTACGCTTAAGTATCCGTTATAGTATTAAAAAAAACCCCAAAACTTGAAGTGTAAACATGAAGCATAGCATAGTGTATTGTGCAGCTAATTAACAAGTGATGATAAAGCAACCTACCAGGCAGAGGAACAGCTACAGTACAGACACTCAGAAGAGGATTTATGGCTTGTGATTTCAGAAGCTGTCACCTGTTGCTGTTTTGTTGAGCTGTGTCCAACTTTGGAGCACTTGCATTTTATAAGATAAAGTTTATCCTGCATATGTATGTGAATAGCAAACGCTTTCCTGTCCTTCCCGCTCCCCGTCCCCTCCCCCTGGTGTTTTCCAGCTTTGTCCTGGTGAACAGCGTGGCCATGGAGGGGGATGGCTGTGCTCTCTGCCGAACTGCAGAGGCAAAGCTGGTGGCACTTTCTCACAAACTGAATTGCTCCCGGCAGGTAAGAGTTTATTGAAGATCTGATTAGAGGCAGCAGCTTGGCTGCTGCAATGGGAATGCTGATACTACAGCAATAGTTAAGATATACCCAAGACTCTCCTGAAAAAATACCTGCTTCTGATTCATATTGGAACTTCTTAGCAAATCTTCCTTCATCTCATTTGCCTCTTACCTTTTTTACTTAACTATTAACTGTGTTGCTCTGTGTTAATGGTGTTAACTTCCTTGTCAGTGCTGCCAACAAATGGGGTGTCATTTCCTCTGTTCCAAGGAATGGCAGAAGTTCTGTAACCCTCCCTTTGACTTGAGATACATAATCATCCCTGCATTTTTATTTATGCATATTGTTCCATTTCATATCCTTTAGCAAGCCTATTCTTTTAGTTTTCTGATTCTACTGGAGTTTTGTCTTGATAGCCTAGTAATGTTTTAATTGTAGTATTTTTTTTCATCAAATCCAACTCCTCCTTGTATTTCACTCCTGTTCCCTTCTTCATAGGCCAGCTGGACCCGGGGTAGGCAGCGCGGTCGCCTGGGTTGGCAGTCCATCAGGAAACCAGCTCCCAGTGGAAAGATTGCTGCACTCTTAACTGTTGTCTCTCTCATGCTGCCCTAAATCTCTTTTGCCTTGTTTGTGCAGCAAAATCCTGCTCTTGCTTTCCGCATTCAGAAAGAGCGCAACCATATACAGCAGCATATATGGAATGGGGAATTAAAGCATCTCCCCTTCCATCCACAGTAGAGGCTCTGAACAGTTTATACAGTGGACAGTATTTAAACACTGTACTCTGAGCTGATACTGGTTTTTGCAAAAAAACCCCTGAAAACAACAAAACCCCTCCATTCCCATAAAACATAGCTGTTTGTTTAATGCTCTTCCCCACCCCTATGGGACACACAGGTGAAAACAGTATGTATGGATTGATTTCATTCACAGACACCGAATCATTCCAACAAAAGATGCAGTGATGTGGAAAAGCTTCCAGCTTCAGAAGCCATCCTTCTACAGGTGTGTCAGAGGTGGGGTGAGGGAACATGTTGACGTGTTTTTAGTGTCTTTATTACTGTTCCAGAAAGGCTGGACCGTTAACAACTGATCCTTGCTCTGAATGTCTCCCAGCATTACCCTCTCTATCGGAAAAGTGATGCCAAATGCAGTGGAGAAGATTCTGCTCCTCCAGAGGAGAAGAACATCCCATTTAAAGAAAAGTATGATGTGCTGTCTCAAGAAGCATCACAAAAGGTTTGATATATCAGGAACTTGAGTGTTGGTGGGTGAGAGGGGGACACGAGTGTAGATACATATATATTTATATAGATATATTAAAATTTTTTGGGAAGAATGTTAGCTGGGCCAAACAGCTGCTCCCACTTTAACGAGGCCTCTGAGAGGCAGCTTGTTAGAGCTGCTCCCCTGAGGAGCACTGCCACCATGGCCTCCCAGCTACAGGCCCTACATCCCGGCGCTCTTCAGTCTGCTGCACTGCTCTCACCTCCCATTTGGCATTTTGTGTTTTATGTACTGCAGGGATTATTGACAAATTTAGTAGAAAGCCACTATTTTCCAACACTTTGAAATCACTGCTTTTGCTGAATTAGTAACAAGAAAATATTCCCAGAAAATCTAACGGGAAGTATTTGTTTCCTTCTACATAAATGTCTTCACTCAGGATTGGCAGTGCAAGATGCTCCCTTCAACAAGAACAGCATTGCTTTACTAAACCCAAGGGGTTTTTTTCGATTTGTGATGTCAACAGCATGCCATTGCCTTTGTTCTTCTGATCTGTATGGCCAAAAAAGTCCAGTGTTTGGGATGAGGGCCAAATGGGCACGATTCATACTACAATATCAACACCTCCTGCTGGAAAGCAGCAGTTTACACAAAATTCTACAGAATATTAGAAGTCTTAAGCTCAATTCCTTTTTAGTTATGACTCAATTTTTGTGTTTATCCTTTGTGTTCTAGCTGATGTGGTGGTTTCATCCCCGTTTGATTCTCAGTGGGCATACGCATAGTGCTTGTGAAGTGCTGCACATGGGGAAAATTCCAGAAATCAGCGTCCCGTCATTCAGTTGGAGGAATAGAAACAATCCTAGTTTCATCATGGTAAGTTTTAATTTTTTTTATTTTTGTCAGATAACTTTCATAAATAAATCAACATGGCAGTCAGCTATATTTTAAAACTGATTCTACCTGTAAAAACAAAAAAAAAAATTAAAAAAATTGCCTACCCACCCAACCCACTCAGTACACTGCATCCACTTTATAAAGTACATCTGTGGGAGCCACATGTTCTGTGTGGTACAAAGCAATGCTGTTAAAGATCTAATTAGTATCTGGGTACAAGCATCTAACATTTTCTTATAAAGAGGGTGCATTGTAAACTATTGACTTGTAAAAAGAATCAGTATTGTGCACTGAACAGTAGAAAGACTAGTTTGGCTTGGTTGATTTACCAACTATGAAAACAAGACCGTATCCACCTCCAACTCTTGCACGGTGATGGTGGTTTTCAGACTTGTGCACGAACCGCTTCACACAGTGAACACGTTTGTCACAGGCCCACAGTCTGCCTCCTCCTTTCCAATTCACATTTTATACAGCGTGTTGGTTATGCTCTCGCAGGCAGTTCCAGTGCTCAGTGTATCCTTAGAGGTAAATCAATTAGTTTCCCAGTTCAAAAATAAAACAGAGCTCCTAGAAACTCGGAGGAAGAAGCAAAACCTACAATCTGTTTACGGAGTAGTCTGTGACCTGGGGGGGGAAATCTTTCATGTATTTTTTCCTGCTGTTGTTTAGGCTGCTCAATACACAGATAAACCCCAAACTTTAAAACTCATTTTATGCAACGGTTAATATTTCTTGTCGAAAGTAGTTCTGTTTATTCTGTATTCCTGAGAGTAGCTGCCTTCAAACTACGCTTGCTCTCTGCACACGCCACACAGTGCATCTTCACTGCAAAACAAGAGGTTGGCTAATTAAGGTTGCATCGTCTTCACTACCGTTTAAACTCGGCCTCGGTCCGTTGTAAACTTTAATTAGAACTGCAAAGTCAGGCCAAAACCCACTGAAGTTCTTTTTGTTGTTGGGAATTTGGATTAGCCAACGGGTTTTTTGCAGCATGTACTGGGTAGGAGGAGGGCTCTGGGGGGAGGAAGGGGCACATTCACAAAACCTAACTTTAGCCCGGGAAGGCTCCTTCCGGGTGGATTTACAGCAGCTAAAGTCAGGCTTCTCTCGAAGGCAGATCAGATGAGGAGCCCAGCTCTCTATTTACGCTAGATGGAACATAGGGCAGATTGGCCTCTGGGCTAGTGTTGGCCTGGTGACTATTCCAGTTAGTGCCCAGCACTGCAAGGTACGGACTCTTCAGCCCCCTGGAGAAGGCACTGGTACTGGGAGACTGGCCCCAACCCTTGCCACCCAACACAGAATTCAGGAATCACAGATCCGACAGCCGCGGTGTTACTCCTGCTTCAGAACCCACTGTAACAGCCAAGTGACAGTCTTCGTTTCTCTTCCAGGGCAGCATAACACCAACTGACTTCTCCCTCCAAAAATGCTTCCTTCCGTACGAGAGCAGAGTCTTTACTATATACTGTGCAGCAGGTGCTCTGCTTGTAATCCTGATACTAGCTCATTTTCAGCTTCTCACTCCACCATTTTATTTTGCTCAGCGTTTAATCAGTAAGCATAAAGCAGTATGAAGAGCCAGACATCTGCATTCAGTCACTGAAATACCAAAGCTGAGAACAGTCAAACATCAGACTATATTCATGCCAGCAAATGACCTAATTTGATTGCTAGTCTGAAGGCAGGTTGCATTTACACATACCATAGAAGTCCTATACAGCTGATATGACTACTACAGGATAAATAATTAACTGAAATGAACGTTTCATGCTGTACAAAAATACTGTATTCTACAATCAAATGAGTCCTTTTCCTGCTATAATTTTTTTTTTGTATCAAATATGTATATTAAAAGTGTAACTGTACATTATGTAAATCCTATAGCCTCATCACTTCTCTGTGCTAGTGTCTTACCCTGGTGGAGGCTCAGTCCTGCAAACTGGAAACGTTTTTTCTGTTTTATTGCTGCATGGCCCTTCTAATGTCATACTTCTGTTTGTGAGGGTCAGGCAGAAACTAGATACCTCAGCACTGAGAGATGCGGATCTCCGTAACCTTTTTTAGGCCGTCATATGTGAGGGACTGTGGTTTGGGACAAGAAATCTTCCAGTTCCCGACACATTAACTTATCAGCTGACTACGACTGGCGGTTATCGTCTACCAGACAACAACGGGAAGAAGCTTGTGGATCCAGTTTGCTGATAAGCACTTGAAACCTGCTTAAAAAAAATAATTAGGGTGACACCTCAAGCTGCTATTTTTAGAAAGATGTGCTATGATGAGCTAAAAAAAAAAAAAAAAAAAAAGAGGGCCCTATTGCATCCCAGAGATCTGTGTGGTGAGGGGCCCTCCAGTTGCCGATCTTCTGCAAGAAGGAAGGTCAAATACAGCTGCAGTAACATCACCCTGTGCCTCGGCCCTGGAGAGGGATGGGGTTAGGTTCCTGCGGGGCCCACGAGGTCTGTTCACCTACAGGAGAGTCACGTTTGACCCACACTAGCTCTGCCCTGGGGAGGCCCCCCCGGGAGGCAGGACGGAGGGTGTAAAATCCCGCAAGGGAGGATGCCCCAACCCTACAGCTGCTCCCACCCGCCCCACAACACCCCCAGGGATGACCTCACGCCAGGCCTGGGGCTTGTTTTTAAAGAAAAGACTCCCTGTTGTTGCTCGCTCTACTACTTTCTTTGGCATGGGAAGTGAGAGAATCTCTGCATTTGGGAATTTTGTTTATTATTAGCTTATTCCACCCAGCCTGTCACTTTCTGGGAAACAGCTGATGACTAAATCGAACACAGGGATATCAAAGTCGACAAGTTTTTGGGAAGAGGAAATGGTCATGTTACAGTATCTAAGAGGGGACTGTTTATTGTCAAATAGAAACACGGTCTCAATTCCTCTGTAATCTGAATTTAAAAAGATGACTGACAGGGGTTTGTAACTAGTAACGATGCTTAAAAAGTTAATCAAACTTGCTGATTTATATGCCAATGTGGGGAATGTGTTAGCTCTTTATCTCTCCCTAAATTTAAAGTGAAGTGAGGGGAGAATGGTCCAAAGTGTGGTAAAACACTCTATAAAGTAATGTAGTCTAACACTTTTCTAGGTTTCTGTTATTGCAACTGTAATTTTAGACATTTGTACAGGTTATCTTGGACACAGGAAAAGTATATAGTCACAGACATAAAACACCTATGTATAAAATATAAAGCAGTGTTATAGTTACTAAAAAGGACATGCCTTATTGCTACAGCAATTCTTGCTTTTTATATATTGTACTGTACCACAACTTGTTTTGAGAATGTCATTTGCATAAATTATTCAAGTTTGAGAAATATTCACACATTTTGATTCTACAATATTTAAAATAAAACAATTTTCTAATGTGTCTCTTTATTAAAAGAGAAATAAAAATGTCATCTTGTAATTCTCTTAGGCCAGACACGAGGGTTTATACACCTTTTTTTTTTTTAAGTTTTTTTTTTTCTTCTTTCTCGCTATTTACTTGCACAATGAAAGCCGCTGTTGGTACAAAGATTGAAGAGCTCTATATAATGGTGCTTTACACATTCACAATCGGTCTGTGCAATTGTGAAGTTCTATGAATGACCAAAGAATTACCAAACATATTTTCTAAATAGAAAGGAAAAAAGAAAATAATAAATCCTTGGTTCCCATTAAAACAACACCAGGTTGCAATTTGGACACTTGAATGAATTCCAATGTTTTAAAGCTGAGACTTCAAAAGAGAAAGGCATGTTTGCTGCAACATCCGGTGACTGTAATACCTTACTTGGAAAGGTAAGTGGTTAATTTGCATAATTTATAATTTTTATACTAAAGAGCATTTTTATATAAACCAGAAAAAAACCCCTAAACTCTACAGATAAAGTTCTTACCTCCAGTCACTGCTGCAGGTAAGGTTGACATCAAGCTGTACAGCGCAATCAAAAACATACTTACATCTTAGCTCATTTTACAGGTACAGCCATAATCAAGGCACAAAGATCTTCTACAAGTATTTTTCTTCAATAAAGTTGTACAAAATAATATTACATTTTACAGTCTGTACAATATAATAAACCAGCAGTAAAACAAAAAAATATATATAGGGAGAGGACCGTTGTCCAAGAATGATCAGAACTAAAAGGATCATTTGTGGACAGCACAAATAACGTAAGTGAGGGCGGTCAATTTTCTGCCTCGATGCGACAGGCTGAAAAGTAGCTGTAATTCAAACGCCTGAGGTGCGCAGAGACGCTCGGCTCCAAAACCCCAGAGAAATTGCTTTGTCTTCACTATTCCTCTCATTATCTACTCTACTTCCTGTGCCAGTAACGGCTTAAAAGAGGAGGTCACTTTATCAGTTGACCTGCAACTCAGAAATGCTAAAAACTGTGACAGAGTAATAAATATTGTGGTGCTGCTACATTGTGTGTCTACTTCCTCAACAGTATTTAATAACCTGATACAAAGTGCATTAATCTTTTTTTTTTTCACCCATCAAGTACTCTTCAATGTCATGTTAAAAAGGAAACCCACACAGAGGGATAGGTATGACTTTAGTGTCATCCAGCTGACGTGCCAGTGTGAACCGGCGGTAACCTGCTGGAAAAAATTTAGCAGGTCGCGTTCAGTCAGAAAAAAAACCCAAAACCTAAGGGACCAGAGGTAGCCGAAGGGCTTAGTGGAATGACGAAGAAGTGGCATGTCAAAATAAAGCACAAAAATAGTCCCAAAAAGCATGAAGGAAAAACAACCCAAACTTGCTTCGAATCAGCTTTAAGGTTAAATAATTAAAGTAAACAAAGTGAAGAGACTGACATTTCTATAGTATATTCTTCCACCCTGTGTGGGGTAGTAGCAAGAGAAAGAGTAAGGAGCAAAGAATTTAAAACCACAGGTTCCACGGTGATCCCCCTCACAAGAGTTCGTACTGGCGGAGATGCATCCTCTGGATGATGTCCCGGCAGTCGTTGAACACCCGGCGGATGTTCTCTGTGTCCACTGCACAGGTGAAGTGTGGGTAGCAGTAGTGCCGCCCGTCCCCGCTCGCCGTGCTTATCCTCTGTGGAAAGAGCAGAGGACAAAAAGGAGGGTCAGGAGCTGCGCCACGAGAAACGGCACATGGCAGTGGTCTGTGGGCTCACGGAATACCCAGACACCCAGGAAATTCTGTACGCAGGTCATTAACGTAAAGAAATAAAGAGAAGGAAGCTCTGTGGGCTAGTCCAGCATGAATCACAAATTTGAAACAAAGATAAAAAAAGTTGTGGCTGATATTACAGGAGCAGCGTATTACGACTTTGTAAGCCCCAATTTGCACAAGCTGTTCTCATTTGCACATGGCCGTGCAGTCTGCCACGCAGCTGTCCCACGATAGTTCTTTTCCCTCTTCTTTTTTGGTGCCATCATGTGGCAAATTTTTGAACTCTTGTTTTAAATCAGCAACACAAAACTGAACACCTCCCAGGTGTGACAGGAATAGCGGCAGAGAACAGCCCCCTCCTGCTTCTGCTTCTTGAAGCTGAAGGCCCCTGAAGTTTCCTTTCCTCAGCACAGCTGTTAGCACAGCTGAAGACCTGGCATCATGATTGATCCCAAGAACGTGGTGAAACTACCACTGGAGTGCAGGGGTCCCACAGAACAATAAAAAAAAGCACAAATCCAGTAAATGCCAGGCCACACAAAACCGAATTTTCACAAGGCTACTGCACAACTTCTCAGGTTGCTCACTCAAGCTCCAGCATCACTTCACCCGTGGTTATCTTGTTAAAACTCCCCAGGATCTTAACAAAGATTTTAAAAATCATAGTTTTGTTCTGTACTACTATAGGACTGACAAATTAAATCCATTCTAGATCATTATCTTGAATACATATAGAATGTCATGAAATCAGAAGGTCAGTTCTTGGAATAATAGTTTTTATAAATATTGCCCAAATTTTGTTACAAATTATAATGTCTAAACAACAAAACCCACTGTTTTCTCTCTGACTACACTATATATTTTTATTGCAGTGATTTATTTTACATGTGGGATTGATGTTTTAAATACCTATAGCTACAGATATCAAAACCATGGCCATTTAGAAGGCCTGATTTACATAATAATTAGATCAACAAGAAATTGCAAATTTTTGCAGGTAACTTAGGCAACATTAGCTCCTCAACACTAATTAAATAAGGGGCCTCCAAATGTAGACTAAAACTTACTGTCTTCTTACTAAGCTACAATCAATACCTAGTTCAAGGATTTCCTTCCTGCAAAATATTAATTGAATAACCTAGTCAATTGAGGAGTAAGTTGTTCAGACTATATTTAAAGCCTGAAGTACAAGAAATAATAATGAAATGAGGAAAAAAAAATATGAATTACTGCAATGGTAGCAAAATGCTGAAACTCAATTAAAAAGTAGATTGTATTTGTCTGCCTGCAGGGCCTGGGCTTCCAGACCTCCCAGATAGGTTTGGGGAAACCTGGTTGTCTTGCAAAATCTGGGGGAAATCAGACCCAGAGGAGCCCAATGGCTGAAAAGACCGTGGGGTGCGTGGACATTCACACCAATACTAATTTTGAAACAATTAGAATTGCAACAGAGGTTTTCTTTTTTGATACAATAGCTGCTTTACACTCCCCCCCCCCCCC